TAAACAATTACAATTCTATATATGCTTATCTAATGCAAATATTATTCAAGTACATATATATGTCTAATAGATTTATATGACTCCCATATTTTTAACCTACTGTAAGTGGGTCCCATATTTCATCATACTTGTGCATAAAAAGTCTACATCTATAGGCAGAATCAGAAATCATTGATAAGAAAAATTGGAAGAATTGAAGGTGAAGGTTAGCAAAACCTGTTAAGCAGGAATGGCAACCTGAAGCCCTAGAACTGCATGTGGCTCCCCAAATTCCTTTTTAAATCATCAGTGACCACAATGATTGAAAAACAGTTGTACAGATTCTGCCTTGTTTGACCCTACCTGCAGATGTTGCTTCCACTGATTTTAAAAACTCTGGGAAGCTCTGGAATAAACAGTAGGTATTTCTCTCAACTCACCGAGCCAAGAAATAGACGTTTTTGGCTTTTCAAGTAGCCTCTACAATAAGGATGCACATTTTGCAGCTCCATGGTCTCATACAGCCCCAGGAGCCTCCTTAGAACAAGTTAGGGATGCAAATTCTATCTTTTGTGGAAACATATGAAAACTGCACTGAAGCTCTGAAATAGGCTTAATGTAATTGAAAAAAACGGAATGCTCTCTCCCCAAAAAACTCTTTATCAAGCCTTTTATGCCACACAAAGACAAATGCAAGCTTTCCCAATAGATTCTATTCAAATATCTTGTTGTTTTTATTAATATCTCTAATTCACCAAATAATTGAATTATTGCCAGTTATCCATGATGTTTGGAAATTATGAGTAGAAGTTCAATCCTTCTAGAAGATGCACAGTTTAATTGGTTCATAACTGAATTATGCAAAGTTTTAATGATATGGACAATTTGAGCATCCATAAAATCATCAATTTACAGTAAATGAATTTAAGGTTAGGAAAGATATATATACAGTATATATATATATATTTTGTATATGCTGGTATGACTTGTGAGAAAGGTGATGCTTGAGTTTCATTTTGAGATTAGGAAGTCTCATGTACACACAGTAACTCATGTGGTTAGAAGAGATCTATGAATGTTTGTCTTATTCCTTCTGGGACCTACTAACCATCTGTCTTCTGCCAAACTGTGCATGCAGTGTTCTGTCCTACATTAGAAGCCCCAGTGAATGGCAAAAGATTTGGCACCAAGAATTTGATGGATCATGAAGTCCATTTTACCTGTGATCCTGGATTTCAGCTTGTTGGTTCCAGTTCTCGAGTGTGCCAGCCAAATGGCAGCTGGACTGGAGAAGTTCCGCACTGCAAAGGTACTGCCTTGTTATTCATTGGCCTGGGTACAGAAACCTCCCATCTATTTGTCAAAACAAATCTGCACATATACAGCTAGAAGAATGCCATCAAAACAGTCATGCCTATATAAAAAGTTGTCCTAGAAGAATATGCTAAGTTAAGGTCAATCTAGATAAGATCTGAGCTGTGTAGAAGCAATTGATGCAACGCTGTACACATTCATCTTATGTTAATAGTAGCCTGGCAGGGGGTGGGGGGAAATTAACTCTGCAGCTTTAGTGCTAGTGGGAGCAGGAGAGTTGAGTTCTAGAGGGGGAAAAGAGCAGCTTACTGAAGCTGCTATTTTAATTTCAAAGCAAGGAATAGCTCATTGGCATCATTGGAAGCATCATGAAAATGCAAGCAGCAATTTCAGAGAGAAATTGGGGATGGGAAAGACATTGTCAAAAATGTGGAATTTATCTTGACTTTAGCATTTGTGATGATCCTGAAGGAGGAGCTAAGGAATTTGGAGCTCTATTCCCCAGTTCCTTAAAGTGTGTGTATTAGCATGTACTTAAAAGAGATCTGGAAGGCCCCAACCCTCTTAGCCTTCTGGAAGGCTGTGAAGACCTGGCTCTTCCCCAGCTGCTGGATCAAGGTATTAGTTGAACCCAATATATGTGCAGCTGGTTTGTGAGCTTGTGATGGTGCCTCCACTATTATATTATGGTTATTTTTAACTCTGTATTTGTGTTACAAGGTTTTGTTTTATTTTTGTGGAATATTATCAGCTGCCCAGGATTATGTATTCAAGATGGGCAGACATACATTCTCTGAACAAATAATAAAATGACTTTACATAGGCAGTTTATCAATTAAGGTACTTGTATCCCCCTTTTGTACATCTGCTTAAAGCAGCATTCCTCTACATGTTGTGATGTGAACTCCAGGGCTGGCTATGAAGTATGAGAATTGAAGGCCAGTACATCTGGTGGGAATCAAGTTGGGGAAGGCTTTCTTAAAGCAGTAAAAGAGTGTTCTTCATTGGGGATGTCTGCGGTGGTGTGTGTGTGTGAAAAAGTCAAGATGATGTCTGTGACTATGGGATCAAAGCCTTGCCCCTTCAGTATGCCATGTGTGATGTACATAAAAGAGGTGTGTCTTCAACTGCATGCCCGCCATCTTGATTTTTTAAACTCTCCTCACAGATGCCCCAGAAGAAATCTGATCAGTCTGCTCTGTTTTTTGTGTTTCCTGCTTATGTGCGAAAGGTGCTTTTTGCATAATTTGCCTGATCATAGTTCTCTTTACCAAAATCCACGCCAGTCCAACTGGGGAGGTGGCATGGTGCTTGTATTAGCTGACTTTATTCTTTATCTTTTATGGTTTATGTATTTTAATCTTCTGTGTGGCCAGGGCTCTCTTTGATCTCTCTACCCTGTTTTGGCTGATCCAACAACATATGTTGCATGAGCTATTCCATACGTTCCCCTGGGTAATTCTACTAGTTTATCTTTCCTGCTGGCAACACTGTTCAGCTTCAACCAGCATTTTTTTTTTTTTTTGCCAAATCCTACAGCCCATCAGCTAGGAGAACATCCGTATAATATTTCACCCTAACTTGTGTAATTCAGACATGAGAAAGTGTGATTTATGCAGGTGTTGGGCTTGAACACAATCTGCTTCATCCCAAAGCATGGCTTGAAAAGGGCAAGTAATTATGAATGAAAAAAGACAGTAAATCCTTTTGTTCTGAACTTGCAGAATAAGGATATTGTAACTGCTATAGTTGCTTTTGCCAGTCCAACTTAATACCAGGCATAAGTGCATTGCTAATTACATGTTGGGATACCACTTATTTAAATAAATTAGCATTGCATAAACTCTAGAGCCCCAATTATGAAACTCCTGAACTGATCAGTAATTTCTCACTAATTTAATGTATATTTATACTTAAAGCCTACTGTTCCTTGTCTTCTGTTTATAAAATGTAATTAAGGGGAATAAACTACTATAACCTTTGGTTTCTAAATGCTTTCTTCTTTCTGTCCTTGCTCCTTAGCTTTTAACAGCAGTCTGACAAACAGCTATTACCCAGCTGAAGCTTTTTCCTGTCTTTTGTCTCCAAGCCAGAAAAAAAAAGTAACTTGTTAAGTTTCTGTCTGTCAGACTGCCACTAAAATGCAGGTGTATAAAAAGGAAAACTGAATCTTTAGAATGGTTTTAAAAATGTTCTTTGAAACCCCCGGAATCTGGTGGTTTTTCTATCAAATCTTTTAAGATGGGCACAAAATCAGATAAAGTTTCACAGCAAAGAATGAAGTGTTTTAGCAAAGTCATGTGAAACAATTTAAAAAGGAAAGGAAGGAGTACCAGGTTTTTTGCAGGTGCATAATAGGAAAGAGGAGGGAGCGAGGCTTAGACTGTAATCATCAGCAACCTTCTGAGCTGCTGCCCAATTGTCTCCCCTAGAGGGGTTTTTTTCTTGGAATGTTTTTCTCTGCAACCCCCAGCCTGATCTGGCCCCTTTCTGACTCAATCTTTCTTATGCCACCTTCTCCTCCCACACTAAATTTGGTCCAGTTCTATTTTGTGTTGGAGCTACAGGATCCTGAGCCGTATTGTGTAATTTTCTTCCCATGTTCCATTGGGTGGGAAAGAATAGTACAGATACCTTGCTAGTACAGGTAGTCCCCTGTTTAAGAACGAGTTCCATTCCCAAGGTCTGTCCTTAAGTTGAATTTGTATGTAAGCTGGTACAGTGTTATTGTATAATACTGTATAAGTAGCATTGTGTAATTAACTTGGACCATTGTGTATTTAACTTGAATCATTGTGTATTTAACTCGACTTTTGCTACAGTAGGCTCCATTCTTAACTATGGGTCGTCCGTAAACCAGGCATTCTTAACCCAGGGACTACCTGTATTGGCATTTTTCCCTTCCCGACAGCCTGGGAAAGCTCTTGCTTCTCTACCTAAAATGATACCGCCTCTGAACCAAATGGAAGAATTTGGAGAATTCTGAGAGTTGGGAAAAGTACAAAAATCCTTAGAAAAAATCCAGAAGGGAAGGAAGTTGTTTATTTATTTATTTGCTTTGTTTGTTTCTCTGAAACAAGCTTTACCCTTTTTTCAAGTGAAAAGACTTCCAAGTGCTAATTGTACATGATCAGTAAAATAAGACAGGCCCTGTCTACCACCTCAAAAACTAAAACTAAAGAAAACCAAAAAGCGAGGGGGAGGAAAGGGGGGAAACAATTATAGGCATCCATTCTTGAAAGTTAAATATCTTTTTGGAATGACCAGGGGAACTGAAATTGTTTTCAGACCGGAAGAGCCAGATGCAGCCAGCTTTTCAGTTTAGCTGATTGAATGGCCCTGCTTAGGTCTCATCCAGAGTTAGTCCACAGGTCTCTCTCAGCACTTCCAGCTGCCACAGAATGCTGTCAGGCTGTTTTGAGAGTCCGGTCAATACTGGAGGAGAAGGACTGGAATCACAAACGGGAGTTGGGATGGAAAGGCATTCCCCAGTGCAGTGTTTTGAGACAAGCCCCTCTTCTGTCCTTTGAAACATGGTCTTTTCTTCCTTTCGTCTCAAGCACTGTCCTAGTTTAAAGTGTGTGTCAGGTTAAGGTTGGATGAGATGAACTTGCATATACATCCATACATGTGCCCAGTAAGAGTGGGGCGGGGGGGAGGAGAAGGAGGAGCAATTAGCCTGATGCCTATTTTTTTGTTCTGGTCTGTTTCGTTTAAATTTTCACACGCCCCTTCTTAGTGAGATTAGATTTTTCAGGCCCCTGCACACAGTTTGCACAGCCCAGGCTGTTTGTTTAAAGGAATTCCCATCTCATTGTGCAAAATGCTAATGCACCATTGAACCTGTGCCTGAGTACTGTGAGAAGGCTTCTTGCAGCCCTCCATTGTGGCTGAAAATATGGAAATGTTGTCTTTAAACAGATGCGACCCACAGTGTTAGCCACTTACCTCTATTCAGAAGAGAGGGAGGAATGAAGACAGCGCTCCATACAGTCTACATAGAATCTTTTTTCATGGTGACTGTTGAGTTATGCAAAAAGGGGTCGGCAGCTGGTTGTGGGCAAGAAATGTTGCCTTTGAAACACCTTAGAGCATTTCTTATAAAGCAGTCCACAGGACCTGCTTCCCCAGGGGGTCAGATGAGAATTTCAACTCAGTGGAAGTTTCAGTGGTATGTGTGGAACCAGAGGGGGGAGTTAAACCCCTTTGAGTGCTTATTCAATAACTTCATGGTTTGGTGACCTCTGATTATTTAGAATATTCTATTAATAGCAGGAGAGTTGACTTTTGGCAGATGCAAAGCTACAGCAAGCCCAGAAGGTATTGATGGCCTCAAGAAATTCCACACGACGCTAATTATTTCAATGCATAACAAGCCCAGGAGAGGTGAAAGGGGGCCTTGGATCAATAGGAACTGAGCAGCCATCTGGCCTGTTCTTTCACAGAAAGGAATTCTGTGGGACTCTGCTCTTTCTTGTAAGATGGTGCCTTCAAGAACTAAATGCAGGCTTTTCGGTCCCCATCTCTTCTCTGCAATTACAGAAGAGCACGAGGGATCACATCTGCAGATGTGTTGTGGTTCCGGGGATCTTTCAGCCCTTTAGAAAAACACCACCACTGTGGAGATGATCCCTGATCCCAGTTCCTATGTCGAGAGGGAGATTGAAGCTTCCACTTTGAGTGATGCCAGCAGGACAGGAGTTTGGGTTATAAGCTGAGAGCAAAGGCTCATCTTAGCAGAATGACCAGGAGCTTCCCCCTTGTCCATGTTACAGAATTGGCCTTGATAATTCTGAGGTAAAGTAATAAATATTGCCATTTAAAGCACAGAATCCTCGGTAAGTCCTTGAAGTTCAAGATCCAGAATGATTTAATGTGTACCACTCTTTGCTTCTAAGATGCTTAAAGGGATACTCTGCCCCTTCCCAGTTCCTCAGTGAAGAGAAAGGCTATAACTTCCTACTCTTGCCAGAGGCTGGTGGAACATTCACTCTGCTGAAGATGGTAAGAAGTACGAGTTCCTGAAACTACACCTCACTCCTTCACCTTTTGTGGATTTGTTCAAAAGTACTTGCAGTACACGTGATGATGCACAAAAGCCAATAGAGGGACTACATCACCCCTTCATACCAAATGATTTTGCTTGTGTCTTCCAAGGACAAGTGAAGGTTTTCTATTGGCAACGTTTTATATGCTTACACAATGCAGCTTGTGGAAGAAGCAAATTTTCTAAGTATTTGATTTCCTTCTTTAATCAGATATTAGTATGTGCACAAATCATCTGTGCCAGAATGGAGGAACGTGTACAGAGACAGGTGACCAGTTTCAATGCATTTGTTCACAGGGATGGACCGGTCCCAACTGCCAGTATCGAACCCAGACAGGTTTGTGTTTTGCTGGGGGAGTGAAGGATGGTGGGAATGAAGATTGTGCAAGGCTAAATCAGAGAGATTTGCAGTTCTCAGGATGAACAGACCTGACTGTGTCTCACTTCTCCTTTTATGCACCAGGGAAGATTAGTTATGTGGCAAACAATGGTCAACTCAGATCATAATTAGATGTTTAAATTAGGATTTGCTGCAAAGGGCGTGCTTGTGCTTTCTTCCATTTTTGCAAAAGGAGGAAGGAGTGCGTGGTATGTCTTAGAAGCAAACCTCTCTTTGCATAAATATTGAAACAATTATAAGGAAAAGAAAAGAAGAATAGAAAAATGGTATAAATAGAAACAATGTCAGAAGGAGGAAGAGTTTTTATTTATTATATCCCACTTTTCCTCAAGGCAGCAAAGTGTAGCATTTCCTTCTCAAGTTTTTCTCCACAACAACCCTCCGAAGTTGGATGATGTGAGAATGATTGGCCCAAATTCCCCCAGCAAGCTTCCATCATGGTCTCCCCAGTGCTAGTCCAACACCTTAACCACTACACCACACTGGACCTGATTCACTTTTAAAAAATTGATTCTTACTGAAGAATTTTACACAATAATAAAAGCAGTACAAATTTAAGAAAGAGAAAAAGCATAAAGAAAAATAGTGAATAGATAAAAAAAGGCAAAAGAAAGAAAAAAAGAAAAGTATAAAGAAACAGTTTCCAATCTTTACAGTAGTTACAAATACATTTGTCATCTGTATTCCCTTTTTAAGGTTACATCATAATTCCCTTCTCATATTTTACCCTTTCTAATCATCAAATCCATAAATCAGCAGGTTTTTTTCCCCCATTTTCAGCAAAAAGTCCATAAAGGGTTGTCACTAATGTACTTACTGACTTCTCCCTAATCAACAAATCAATTTTGCCATCTTTGCAAATTCTGTCATCTTCACCAACCATTCCTCCATTGTGGGTATTTCAGAATCTTTCCATCTTTGTGCATATAATAGCCTCACTGCAGTTTCCATGTACAATCTTCCATGAATCTTTTCTAGCTGACTTTCCATAAGTCTAAACAAGAAAAATTCTAGTTTCAACTGTATGTTAATCTTTAAAATTCTTTGTATCACTGTACATATTTGGATCCAGAATTCCAATTCTCAGGTTTCCAAAAAAGAACGCTAGCTGGGGAATTCTGGGAGTTGAAGTCCACACATCTTAAAGCTGCTGAGGTTGAGACACACTGCCCTACTCAGATGTTCTAGAGATAATTTCTTCCTTCTTGTCTTTTAGTACCCCCAGCATGGAGCATAACAAATGACCCAGCTTTCAGTCGCAAGCCACGCTGTGCCCAATTAGATCGAATGCAACACTGCAGTTGTGAAGCAGGCTTCCATATGAGTGGCACTGCAGAAAACAGCATTTGCCAGGGTAAGAGACTGTTTAAACGATACACCTGCACAGTCAAAGTGATGAGTTGTTTCTCCTTCCAGATCAGTTTAACACATTTCAGTGTCAAAATGTAGCTTTGGTGACACTAGTATTTCACCTCTGTATTTCACACTTTGAGATAGTCCTGATTAGGAAACCAAAATCATGAATGCTAATACTACTTTTATTATAAGGTTACAGTAACAGAAACTTGCAAGTCTGAATGAGCCTCTCCCCTTGCTATGTACTGAGCAGACTAGCTTCTGGAAGAAGGAGCATCTTCAGAAAGGCTTCTACTGCTGATTTGACTTATTGGACACATTTGTAGCAGGCAAGATAGTTCTGTAGATAATCAGGCCCTAAGTTATTTTGGATTTTAAGGGTCAATACCAGCACCTTAAACTGAGCTCCAAACTCTTTGAGTAGCCAGTGCAGATCTTTTAGTACAGGCAATTATGTAATCCTTGTATGTGCATTGGGCAGAAGCCTGCCACCATGTTTTTGCACCAAAACTTTGCAATTTTAGGAGACTTTTCACAAGTAGCCTCAAGTAAAGCTCATTGCAGTAGTCAAGACAAGTGTGGATATCTGTCAGTAAGTCCAGCCACCTTAAGAAAGGTCACATTGGTTGTACTGTTCTTAATTGTGTGAACACACTGCTCATCACTCCTCCTAACTACCTGCAATTGCAGTGACAGTGGAAGGTCAAGGTTCATTCCCAAACTGCAAATCTGCTCTTTCTGAGGAACGCAAACCCATCTAGAACAGATTACACCTTAGCCCCAAAATCCAGATTTCATATTATCAACAACACCTCTGTCTTGTCTGGATTTAACTTCAGTTTTTTCTTCCTCATCCAGTCTATTATCAAGATTAGGCAGCATGAAAAAGTCTTGACTGCTTCCTTGAAATTAGAAGATAGGGAGCAGTAAAGCTGGATGACATCAGGATACTTATAGCATCCCACTCCAAAGCTCCAAATAACCACCCCCATTAGTATCATGTAGATATTAAACTGCATAGGAAACAAGATAGAACCACAAGTAATACTACAGGTAAAAGAATGACTTACATGTTGAACTATAGTCCTCCAATACTATTTTCTAGGCACATCCCAACTGGAAAGACCAGAAGCAATGCAAAACAGTGTCCCCAAGGTCCAGCTCTGCCAGATGGCCTAGAAGGATACTATGCTTGATGGTATCAAAAACCACTAAGAGACCCAAAGGAATTAGCTGTACCGCATTCCTGCCATCTAATATCCAGTATAGGGTATCTACCAAGGTAACCCAAATAGTCTCAATATCAAATTCCAGATGAAACTCCCAATAGAAATGGGTCCAGAAAATCAGTTTCATCCAATGCATCACCACTTTCTCAACCATCCAAAAAAAGGAATATTTGAGACTGCTGATTGTTAGAAAGGTCTTCCAGTCAAGGAAATGCTTTATCAATAAAGGTCTTATAACTGCCTCTTTTAAGTTTACAGGAATAAGTCTCATGCTCCAGAATGTATAAAATCTTGCTGCCATGTTAAAATATAATTCATATGAGCTTAATACAAGTTCAGCGACTGCTTCCCTCCCAACCCAGATCAATGATTGTCAAACAAAAGCAAAGATTGTTTTAATCTGACCTTTTGATTTGAATTAAGTGAGAGTGTGAACTGGGAATGAGAAAACATCTCATAATTTGAATTTGCAAACAGAGCCTACCTGACGATTTGTCAAAAGTATTCTGGGCAATGATATCTGCAGCCAGTTGTGATGATACCAAAATGACAACAGGCATGTGGTTACATCATCACACAAATGTCATCATTATACACATGCGTCCTGAAGTTTGATACAAATATGTTAGCTGTGGCGTTTGCATGATGACATAATCAGGTTCATGTCATCATTTACCTCCCCTTGCTCCTCTTTGCAGATGCCCATAATCCTGGGCATCCAGAAAATAAATTCACATCTGCATTGAAATCTCCTACTTAATCCAATGTCTGTCTGGCTGAAGTCAGTAACGTAAATCTTCCATGATTGACAGGCAGCTCATAAGCCCCTTATTGTGGGCCCCCAAACATCCTAAAATTATGCTGCAAAAATTTGGTGGTGAATTGCTGAATAACAGGCTTAATTTTTCTACTGTTTTCCCACAAAAGAACAGATGAAATAGATGTAATAAGTCTATCCCAACTATCTTAATTTTTTAAAAACCTAATTCCATAAAAATGATTGTTAAAAGGCATGAACTTTGGGCTCTTGCATCCAGTGATGCTCTTTGGTCAAAATTATTACCCTGAAGCTCTTACAAATAATGCTTACCTCAACATTATTTTTTTTAAAAAGGCAGCTATAAAAAGGTTGCCTGTCCTGAATCATGCGGGTTGATGAACCAAGCCCAGATCCCTAGAGCTGCAGATGCACTCCAGCCATCATAAGGTAGGGACGGCAATGAGAGCAGTTTGCTGGGTTTTCAAGGCATCCTCAAGCCTTGAAAGTTTTCATGCTCTTTTTCATGGTTTGAGAGTTTGTCCCAACAGACTCACATTCTAGGGTCTGCTGTGAACATTCCTGTCCATTCTAGTCTCTAAGAGTATAGAATAAGGTATTGTTTATTTGGTTACTTCAAGTTTGCACTTGGTCATACTCAGTCCTTCTGCTCTTTTTCTTACTGCACATTTTTCTTCCCAGCTCCAGCTTTCAGTGAGTGGTCATACAAGCAAATATTCCTTTAAAAAAATCAAGGTTTACCGACACAACATGTCATTTGGATTGTTAACATCAGGGCCTGGTTACTTCCACAATTTCCATCTTTACTCAGTTTTGCTCTAATTTTTAAAAGCAATAGCTAATGGCTAAATCATGGCTTCACTTATCTCTCCTCCCCCCCCAACACACACACACAAGAGAAATCCAAGAACCATTTTTTAAAAAAATCAATCCACATTGTACATATATTTAGAGCAATATAAATTGCATAACCTGGTATCAGTAGCAGTTATATTCCAGAAACACTTCTCACTCCCCTTGCTAGCCCAGCCATGCAATGATGTTTTTGTTCCTGCAGGAATGTCATGTCAGTTTCTTTCCTGGCAGATGTGAATGAATGTGAAATTTACAAGCTGGAGGGAGCCTCTCGCCTGTGTATGCATGCTTGCATCAACACTCCTGGCTCATACCACTGCTCCTGCCCCCCTGGATACAGGCTCTTCAATGATGGGAAAAGCTGTGAAGGTGAGAGCTTTCCTTTTACTAAGCATGGAACAGATGACATTTTACAGAAGCTAAGTAACTTTTCTTCCTGGGTGTAGGCTTCATGCAGCATTTCATGTCACAAAGAACATGAAATATGTGTGCTAGGATTTGCACCCATAGAAGCTTATCATCATCGCTTTATTTTGCTTTGGCTTAGAACGTTATATGACTTCAGCTACAGTGGCTTGCAAATCATGCTTTATAGTTTAGCATATCATAGGACCCAAGCTAGTAATAGCTTGAGGAACAAATCCTAATTAAAACAAACTTGATGTAATGTTCGTGTGAACCCATCAGTAGGCTTCTTTGCAGTCAGGCTTAAACTATAAACATGTTCCTGGGACTAGGTTCCCTTGAGCTCAATAGGACTTAGTCTAAGTAGACACAGCTAGAATGATGCTGTGAATTGGGTCTATCTTAAGGTCTATGACTTAGGAGAAGAACATAGGAAGAGAAGCATGTTTCTGCTGCTAGTTCTGCTATGACAATACTTGCTTCAACAATACTTACCATTTGAAATACTTCCCCTGATGCCCCCATACTGTAAGGTCTCCAGAATTATTAGCATCATTCTTCAAATAGGGGCTGAAAACCATGTTAGTATGCCTAACATCACTAAGTGAATTGATGATCAAATGAATATGCATGCCAGATATGTTACTTTGATGAATATGTCTCTTTCCTACTGCAATGGAGAACAGTTGGGGGCATTTGTAGAATAATATTTTTAGCAGGACAATCACAAAGAACATATATTCATAAACCTTCTAAAGACACCACACACAGAGACACAAAATAAGAATAAAGACAGCAGCTACCCTACTACTTACAGAGCTAGTAAGAATGGTTTCAGAAGCTGTGGATGGAACTGAGACCCTCTTATATTATGCATTTGGTACCAGTAGAAGAGAATATCTGTAGCTCAGGGTTGAACTGTGAAGTCCTTGATGCTCTCTGAGCTTGGTTGTTTGACTACAGACGTTTCATTACCTGGCTATCATCAAAGCTTGTGAGTGTGGGGTTTTCTCCCTTTTCTATACAGTAGCTATATATAAACAGGGAACAAATGCCACATTTACAAGCCCTGATGATGTTACCTACCCAGATAATGAGAGCACCAAGGACTCCACAATTACGCATTTGGTAGGAATTGTGTCTTCTCCTGTAAGTGTAGTTTGGCTGGAGAGATCAGTGCTTCTGAAAAAAGGCTGAGTGAATGTGCCCCAGCCCTTCTGTTTAAATGTGGGTTGTGACAATATATTGTAACATGTTGGTGCCCAGGTGGGATATAAACCACATCAAGGGTGGGTGAGAGGAGGGTTGCATCGCCCATGAAAACCTTTGATCACACTGAAGCAGCTGCCATCTTGTCTTTTTCTTTATCATACTTTGCAGACACCCCTGTACTCCTGCATTTTGATGCTGAATCCATTTTATGTCTAATTAAAATACGAACAGTCTGGGCACCAGATTTCCCACAGATGAGACTGTTTTTTTGCTATCATGTATGTTGTGCCATAATGTGCAATACTAGCTGTGAAAGCTGACAGAAGGATTCCCCTAAACAAAATATTCATTGTAATGCAGTTGAGATATGTGGGAAGGTAAAAAGTAACACTGGGGGTGGTTAGTGACTTGAGGACACTCTCTCTGTCTTTTAACTTTGTATATTTTTGTAAGATTTTTACTGTTTTTTATTGTTTTTATTTGTGAGCCACCTAGAGTCACTTATATAGTGAGATGGGCGGCGTATATATTTGATTCATAAATAAATAAATAGGGTATGGAGGTGAAGTGCCAAGAGCTGCCTCAGCCTGAATAGGGACATTGTGCCCTGAAGTGTGTGCTCTGTGCTCTTGGGCTGCTGTAGAAAATTGCCTTCGAATGATGATAGAAAAAGAATTAATCTTCAGTGTTGATTCAGTTTCTTCACTTAAACGAGTCTTAGAAGAATGGCCTGAATTTAACCAGCTTTAAGTTCGTACCAATCACTTGAGAAAACCATTTTAATTTATATCCTCCTTTCCTTTGTCAAGCATTTTTAGAGCAGGAGCAAAAGATGCCAAATGGACACAGACTGCTAAAAATTGAATTGTGATATGATATATTTTCTGGCACAGAAGTACCTTCAGCTTATGATAAAATAGAGTTTGTTGAGAGATCAGTAAAATGACCCACCGGGTAGAAAAATGAAGAGGGAAAATTTCTTCCCTTTTTATTGTAACACTATACAAGTGCTTGAAATCATCTCATGAAATTGTACAATAAAAGATTCAAGATGGATAAAGGAAATACATATATACATACAAATCAATAAAATGAAGACATTCTCTGCTATAAATCGGTGGTTTAGTATGTTACTTGAGTAACAGAAGCTATGTACATCTGAATATCACTTTCTGGATAACATGAAAAGAAGTGTGTTCCTATGCTGATGTCCTCCAGAAGACATCAGGCTGGCTATTGTGTGAACAAAATGCCAGACTGGCTCTTGTTGTATTCATTCTCTTATGTGTGGAAGATCATCTCATGGTATATTTACATTTTGCATCTTTGATACATAAGATCCAACTGTCTCAATTTACTCTTTTTCCTATGTACATGTATGCATACATGTATACTAAGATTGTGCATGCTTTGAACATTGATTGAGAAGTGCTTCAGACTTCACACCAAGGGAGACTGTGGTAGGTTAAAAAAGTGAAGATGGAATCTGTGACCACACAAAGACCCAACCTTTTTTCATATACATCATGTAGATGACATATGTAAAAATGAGCCAGGCTGCCATCTTGACTGTTTTGATGTGTTCTGCAGATGCCCTTGCTCCACACAAGTTTGAACGTAGCTTCTGCATGAGCTCAGGCTTCTGCATGAGATTAAAAACAACAACAACGCCGTTCTGTATCAGTTCTTAGGAATTCACTTGTTAAACTGTATGTGACTTTTATGGGAGCATTTCCTTTTGTTCAAGCTTGCCCAGAACCCTGAACAAGGGTGCAAGGTCCAAATGACTTCATCCAAATAATTTCTGAAATAGTCACACCCCACATTCATGCACGCACATGTGCACACAATTTTTTGTTGCAGGTACCTTACAGGAAATAGTTAGTCCAAAGGAAATGGTGGATTAAATAAACAAAGAAGATTTTTTAAATGTTAGGTGACTACTCTAGAAAATAAGTCCAGAAAATAGATTGCAAGGCTCAGGTTAGTATCTGTGGACATCAGTGTACCTCCACACAGCACTCTCGGCTTCTACCTCATCTGAATATTTTTACAAGTTATTTTAATTTTAAACCCCATTAAAGAGGAAGCTGGCCTGCTGCAGTGCAAAGCATAGCCGCTGGCACCATCTTTATTCCCAAGAATGTCTTGAATCCATAGCCATTCAACCTAGAATCACCACCCTTTCTGTATTCCCATGACTTCTGATAGATGCTAGTCAGCAGGGCTGTCCTATTAGGCAAAATAGCCTACGGAGAGTTAGGCCTAGGAAAGATCCATTCTTTTGTTTCATGCAGTGCCCATCCTCACTGACTCAACCACCATTCGTAACATCAACTTATATCCAGGAATCAGATGGACTTTGGTGTCTATTTTAAAATGAATTATCTAAACATTTGCATTCATTCACTGACTGACTTTATAATCAGCATGTGGAAGCTACTTCTACATGAAACCAATTCTGCGTGTGGCAGTTGCTCCACACAGTGGTTGAGAATGGCTCCCCAGATGGATTACTTTCACGAGGTAGGGAGAGTTTCCAGTGATACGATTCCTTTGACACTCTTAGGAACATCTGGTGGTTTTGAGACTCTCTCTGGCAATATATAGCTGGCATATGGAAAAGCTATCAAACAGATGTTCCTTCAATCTCTTCTCCCCCCCCCTTTTTTGCAAACAGCACTCTTTGTACATATTTTAAGAAATGAAAACAAGTCAGAGAAAGCCAGTTACTTTGATGATATGCAGCACACTTCAGTAAAAGACTTCAGCAGTTGAACAAGTAGAGGAAGAGACTGTCTAGAGCCTCTCCCCTTCAACTACAGGGAATCTGCGCATACATGCGCATTCCAGACTCCTCTCTTGAACGTAGCTGCTCCTTAGGCATTGGCAGCTGCTTGAAGGCTCTGCTCCAGAGAATTTGCTGTCTAACACTCTGTACTGGCGAGAGGAGAGGAGATTAGCTGCTTGTCCATTCACTCAGAACATGCCCTTCTTTAGGTTTGGGGATGGCAGCCAGTTCTCGGTTTAAAAGCCATAGTCCAGTAGCAGGTCACATGCTTTGCATCCAAAAGGTCTCAGGTTTAGTCTTTGGCAGCTCCAAATAGGACAGTGCAAGAATCCTGCCTGGAATCCAGCCGGTCAGTGTGGATCATGCTGAAATTGATGGACCATTAATTTAACTCTGTATAAGGCAGCTTCTCTGTTTCTGTTTGAATTGACTGTCTGCCAACCCCAAAAGAGTTGAATCCATTCCTCCATCACTCCCTCTTCTGTTGGTCTTGCAGATATAGATGAATGTGCACTCTCACTGCACAGCTGCACTAGGGGAACGACGTGCATTAACACAGGAGGAGGCTTTCAGTGTGTCAAGCCAGAATGTCCCAAGTCCGGTGAAAATGTCAGCTATGTGAAAACATCACCATTGTAAGTATAAAGAGAAATGAGCTTTCCCCAACGTGGTGCCCTTCAGATGAGTTAGATTGCAACTCCAATTGTTCCCAGCAGTATGCGGGAAAAGCTGCTTCCACAACAGAAATTTGCATTAAGCCATGTTTTTTTTTTAAGTGTATATTTTCTGTAAAAACTGACTACCATTATAAAGATACAACAATCTTATGCCCTCTCCCAGTTAATTAATTCAAAGTACCATTATTAAATAGAGGCTTTTAAATGGCGGCTAACCACTTGAAGCTTCTCCACTGGTTGATTTTTCACTGAAGATTTAGCATGAAACTGGCATCATTTATAATTTCCAGTGTGATTTCATGATGTCATAGGTATGTGATTTTGGGGTCTGTAGGTACATTTGGCATTTTTAAAGTGTGACAAAGTAGCTCTCATGCATATGCAGATAATAACAAAAAGTTGCTATTTATTCCACTTTTTAAAGATATGATTTGATTTCACTTTCAGCAGTTCTTCTGAGATTTGTCAGGGCTACAGTTCCTTGAATTAGAAGCTTCCTCCTAATTCATTTCTTTTGAATTAGCTCATTAAACTCAGGGAGGCAGTGAAGGACAGGAAGGCCTGGCGCAATATGGTTCATGGGGTCACAAAGAGTCGGACACGACTTAACGACTGAACAACAACATTAAATAAGAGAAAAATAATTAAAGCAGCCACTTCTCCAGTATCACACAAACATACACAACACATTCAGAACTGATCAGTTAGTCAAAATTCAGGAATATGGCAGTCACAAGTGAACACCTAATAATTATCCAGCCATTTTAAAAGAAAGTAGAAAGAAAGAATGTATGGCTGGATCTCCATGCACTGCATCACTGTATGAACATTCATTTCATTACCTGCCATATCATGATGACCTCTCGTTGTCAGCTGGGTTCTTCAATAACTGAAGAGATAAGGAGGAAATCATTACTGGTCAGAAAATCCACAGAGATTGTGGATTCTGAAATGCCTTGTAAAGCTGAGATCAAAATGAATAACTTGACAGTTAAGCTATTTGTGTTTGTTTGATCATAGACCAGAAAACTTTACAACTTGCATCTCGCATTATTCAGTACAAATATTTTCCCTCCAGTCAGTAAGATTTCTTGTTGTGTTTTCTTTGATATGTGGCCAAAACATATCATGCCTTAATTAGTTATCCTAGCCATGTGGAGAAAATGCAGCTTTGTTTAAGTTTAGACAACATTCTGGGTACAATCCAGCCAGTGCAAAGTACCTTTAAGCCTCATTGATTTTGGTGGGAGAGCTAACCTTATCATTAAACCTTTTGCTTTGGAATCAGTTGGATTTAAAATGACCTAACTCTGACTTCATTTTCCTCTTTTACTTTAATATGTCTGGATAAATCATTACTATCTTAGGAATTCTGTGTTATTAGGCCAGAAACATAATTGTTAATATAACAAGAATTCAAATTTCATGTAATATTGTGGAGGTTGTATTAAATGATTTCAGACAATTTTACTCTGATCTCCTGAAGGAAATCCATGTTTTAGATGGTGCCAGAGAGAAGTGCAAAAGATAGGGAGATGTGTAGCACCCCAGCAGCCATACTAAGATCCTCCAAATTTAGAACCACACAAAAAGGGGGTATTAGAGAGAATTTCCCTGTCTCCATTGCTGTAGTCTTGGTGAATTTGGTAAGCTTCCTAATTCTAAATAGAAAATATTTGAAAGAGGGGAGAACCTTGTGTTCCTTTCAGATAAATACAGAAGTTTGTCCAGCTACTGGTACCCATGTGTCCTTGAAGGAAAGGCCCAATCATATGTTCAAATCTTACCCAAATATAATATATATTACTATATTTTTTATCCCCATCTCAATATTTTATTCTGGTACTGCTGCCACTCCACAGATGGAAATAGTTTTGCACGCATAAATTCCTTCGCTGGATTGGAAACTTTGTAAACAAAGTCTGCTTTTATGCATGCTAATCCAAAGATATAACATCTGGCATAAGTATATTCCCTATTTGCAAAGATCCACATAAAGAGGACTGCGTTTCTATTTTGCTAATATGGGGGGAATGTTATCCCCATTTGTTATTTCCAATGACTAGCTAAATGCAGTGCCCAGTTGCAATAAGACCTTTGACACGTCCATCTATTATGCAACTTTCTGCTCCCCATATGTAACTCTAAAGGAATGTGGAAGCTCTCAGGGGCTACAGAACTCACCATCAAACAAAGCTAGATGAAAAGGAGGGGATAAGGGAAGGAGCAGAAAAAGTTTTAAAAACTATTTTAATTCCTGAACTTTCCTCCTCCTTTTCTGTTTCTCAGCTTTTACGTCCATTTGGGTGGTCCTAATAAAGGTATAAGAGAACCAGTTTGGTGTAGCAGTTAAGGCACTGGGCTAAAAACCAGAAGTCTGAGTTCTAGTCCTGCTTTAGGCACAAAGCCAGCTGGGTGTCTTTGGGCCAGTCACTCTCTCTCAGCTTTAAGAAACAGGCAATGGCAAACCACTTCCAAAATCTTAACTGCAGGAATTAGTCCAGGCAGTCACCAGGAGTCAATAATGACTCGAAGGCACCCCCCCACCCAAATGAGAGCCAGTTTGGTGTAGTGGTTAAGGCACCAGGCTAGAAACCAAGAGACTGTGAGTTCTAGTCCTGCTTTAGGCATGAAGCCAGTTGGGTGACCTTGGGCCAGTCATTCTCTCTCAGCCCTAGGAAGGAGATAATGGCAAATAACTTCTGAAATCTTGCCAAGAAAACTGCAAGGATGTATCTAGCCAGTCACCAGGGTCAAAACTGACTCAAAGGCACCAAAATAATAAAGGTATTATCAAATTATGCATTTTGGATATTTCTTCTTCTTAACCAATATGACTTTTAAAATATAATTGTAGAAGTATCTAATTAACCTCAAGGAATGAAAGGAAATAGAAGTGTTGGGTTCTCTGTATCTTTCCAGGGATCCAAATCTTGTTTTTTTTGTTGACTTTTCTTTCCTTCATAGTCAGTGCGAACGGAACCCATGTCCCATGGACAGCAGATCATGCCATCAAGCCCCCAAGACAATCTCCTTCCATTATCTCCCTCTGCCATCCAATCTCATCACTCCCACTCCTCTCTTCCGCATGGCTACTGCTTCAGCCCCTGGACGGCCTGGTCCTGACAGCCTGCGGTTTGGGATTATAGGAGGCAACAGCCGAGGACATTTTGTGATGCAGCGCTCGGACAGGCAGACAGGGGAACTCATGCTGGTTCAAAGGCTACAAGGGCCTCAGACCATTACGGTGGAGGTTGAGATGTCCGAGTACCTGGACCGCATCTTCCAAGCTAAGCATGTTTCCAAGATTACCATCTTTGTGTCAGTTTATGAGTTTTAAAGGAAGTTGGTTCAGAATGGGAGGAAAAAAAAGTATTCCCAGGCTTTTCATCAGGAACTGTTTCTTTTGTTTAACTGTTGGCTCCCATGCCACAGTCTCCAGAACCAAGAGTGATATCAAGCATGGCTTGGCTTTCTGGGTACTCACCTGCATTAATGTCATCCACTTCTTCTTAGCACTGCTAGCATGTAGCCTTTCTGCTTCTATCCTAACACATCTTTAGATGGCCTGAACTCCTTAGAGGAAGGGGAGAACAGCAGTATAACTTAGTACCAATTATTGTTGCTCCAGCCACACTCTGTAGCCCGTCTAGCTTTGACCCGCCCTTTGTAAGCCAACACAGCATGTTGCACATGTAGACAGCCTGTCCTTAACAAGGCTACCTGCATCCCAGAAGACTTCAACAAAAGGGAATACATGATCCCTCCCTGGACAATGTACATAAGCTACAATATTATTACTGTAGGAGATGTCATTCCCATTTTGTAACATTGCTGTATAGTGTTAAGCATTGACTAGTCTTGGAAAACAGATGCCTATCAATGGAATGAGTATTGACTTGGAGGTAAATCTGATTTTTATCAGACTTCTTTCCTAATAAATTCATGTTGGACTAGACCAGTATTTCTCAACCTTGGCAATTTTAAGAAGTCTGGACTTCAACTCCCAGAATTCCCCAGCCAGCATGTTGAAGTTGAAGTCCAGACATCTCAAAGTTGCCAAGATTGAGAAATACTGGTCTAGACTGCACATTTCTCTAACAGAAGTATTGTACTTCAGGCTCTTAAAGCTTCAAAGAAATGAACATTTACCACAAATTCAATACTTCAGAACTCAAGTTGAATGTTTCCTTTTCTGTCTCTGAAGTACAACTTTCAGCAAGGCTATGAGGAAGCCAATTTTTCAGCCTGGATGATGTACGTCATTTAATACCATATAATACTATAACATTACCAAAATTAGTATTTTTTCACACTACTTTTTGTAATCTAGTAACATGAACTTAGCATGAGTTTGGAAAATACTCGTTTACTTTTATTTGTTAGCCAAGAAAATTAGCAGTATCAGAATGTGTTTGTGACTCCCCCAGTAATTTGTTTCTGCTCCACTATAATGAAAATATTATTTCAAGTATTTTATTTGGGCAAAAAAATGTAGGGGAAAACGCACTTATTAAACACATCTTTGTATTTTTCAATGAATGTTTTAAATTTTCTTTTTTATCTTTAGATATGCCTCTTGGAACTTGTTCACAGAAATGGAGATTTAATAGACAAATTTGTCCATTCAGTCAAATTTATCTTGTTTATTTAGTCTCCAGGCTGGCTTTTCTCTTGCACAAATAAATAAAAAATACTCTCCATAACTACCAAAACCAATTTCAGTAAACTTTTAGAAGTCTGTCTCTCACAGTGTTCCACATTTATCAAACACCAACTTCTAGGATGATTTTCCATCCAGACTGTTGTCCACATAGGAGATCTGGAGGTAGAGTTAACAGTGTGGTTCCCATATACTGTAGAATTTTAGGCTCTGAGTGGCTTTTAGTTTAAATTTCTGATTGGCTGGGAACATATTTTTGCAAGTCAGCTGAGATGGACTGAGAATAAATAAAGTTTAACTCTAAACAAGCAGTAAGTTGCTCAGATAGAAGAGTCAGTGGGACCCTTGCTGGCTCCATGATTGGTGCTGGACTCCAGACTGCATTATCAACTTTTGTCCAAATGCATTGGTGATACCCCAGAGTGAGAAAACTCAGAAGTAGTCCCCTGTGGCTATGCAATGTGAGAGATGTCTGGACCTGTTTGCCAAAATTGCCTGTTTGTGATCACTGACATTTTAATAACTGCAACTGGTTGCCAGATGATCCCTGTTGCCTAGAGTTATTAATCTTTCATTTTGTCTTTGGCTGTTGCTTCTCTTATTTTCTGCTGCAGGCTTTTTCACTGAAGATTTCTAATTCTAACTTAGAATAATGGGTACCCTACTCATATTTCAAAAGCCTCCCTCTCCCCAAAAAACCCACTTACATGATCCCATCTTGCCATCAATCCCTCCTAAAATAACATGATGAAAATCTATAGAAAAGGTTTCTTTCTCAGTTGCCTGGCATATAAATATATAATCAGCTTTGAAGTTACAACTGAAATGGCAGGCTGCTGAAAATAAAGTCACAACAGAGCTACCAGTCAGGACTAGATGGAAAAGTAAATCTGGGCCAACAATACAAAAGGTTTTTTTTTTTTAAAATAAATTGATGTTAGTTCTAGCTCTTTTATCTTCATCCAGCTCCTTTATGGAAAGCTATCTCAAAACATTTACATCACTGAGGTGACTAAGGCATTGGCTAAGAAACCTGAACTAGTGAAGTCACTGGCCCAGAGGACCAAAGGAAACAGAATGTTCCCGCTGGTGATAGACCTGTCTGTATAAGCTTCCCACACATCAGTGGTTCCCATCACAGTCCAGGCCAAATTTTACAAATGGGCCATCATTTCTTTCCAAAGGATTGGCTTAAGATGGTGGCATTTGAAGGTTTACTAGCTAGCTAATTTCCTACACAAGTCAAATCCTAATGCCATACGTGTGTGTGTGTGTGACTCATAAAGGCAGACATAGAAGTGCAAAGTGAGTTGCCCCTGCATGTGTGTGGCCATGAACACAAAGATCTGCTTCTACTCCTTACCACCACTGAAAGGCAGAGGTCCCAAGCCGCCTCTGTTCAAAACCCTCTGGGTCTTCACATCCTAATCCTAATTCTAATCCTACTTCCTGCTTTGTTAGTTCCTACTGCCACCACCTGTTTTCCAGAAGCATGTCACCTGGTATCCATTTGGTACGATTCTCACAATCTGCTGCCTTTCTGGTGATTAAAAAATCAAAATGCAAAAGTTGGAATAATTTATATACTGTTACTTCCTGGCCATATAGCATAGAGAAATGGTGACTGGAAGATTCAGCCCTCCTTCCACCATCCCCAACAACCTTGGGAGAGACACCAATTTCACAGGAGATAAACAAAACAAAATAAAATGAAGTGTTTAAAAACAATGGCATGTAAAACATCTTTTCTAACTTTAAAGATGAATGCAAACATTCCGTATGGAAGAAGCTAAATTACAGAACTGATCAGAACACAATCATACATCACCTTACAAATTAATTAAAAGATAAAGCTAAAAAGGAAATTACAAAAGAAAATATCACTCTATGGACAGACCACCAGGCACTGATTTGCTACAAAAACTGCACTTTCTTCAAGAATCTTTGAGAAACTTCTGGCAAGGTTTCAAGTTACTGTTACACATTACAAGACAGAGAAATATCTCTTCATGAGCATAGCCTGAGATTTGACTGAAAACTGAGATTAAACACACAGTTCTATAACTGATTTAGAAACATAACCTGAGATTTAGCACAACCCAGCAAACAGAGATGAAAGAAGTTAATGCAATTTCCTGGCTCTGTGTTTTATATATTTCTACAAAATAGAAGTCCCCTGAAGCAAATGTTCCTCTGCTTTGATTACTTGGACTTCTCCAGCTTCTTGAAAATTCTAATACATTAATCAGAGGCTTCTGGGGAGATAGAAAATCCTGCTCTTTACCAGCATCTCCCCCTGAGCTTCTGCTGAATTTGACTTTGTTTTAAAACAACCAAATACTTTCTATGTCTAGCAGAGGAAGGGAGTAGTCTGAGTCTGTATATGATAAAGAACCACATCTCACTTGTGGAAACGTGGATTGTCAGTCTATCATATAAACTACATTCGCAGCACGGGTCTTCTCCCAAGCTATAGCTCTTTATCAGCTTCTCTCTCTTTCTCTCTCTGCCTCTTCACCTTTCTCATAGCGAAAAAAAATACCCACCTTTCTGGGCCATTAGTGTCCACTAGTGCACACTCACTCCAAAGCTGGAACAGATTCAGCTTTCATTTAGTTGTATACCCATGTTTGCATGATACCCAGAGAACATTACTCTGAAGATATTAGTCATGATAAAATCAAGTCCACTCAACCTAGGTATCAGCAAACAGACTTGGCCCACATATTGTTCTTGGTCTTCATGTAGTTTGTTGGTTTGGATCAAGCATGTTGTGTAAATCCAAAAACCAATTGAGGTTTATTCAATATATCTTGCTCAAGCAAAACATGATACTTAAGTGAGCTCAGGCCCATTTTTGCAGCCTCCAAAGGCACTAAATATCAGCAAAACTCAGTGACAAATTACAATTTTCAGTGACATGATTTTGCAAGCATCATTTTGTAATAAGCCTTAAAATAAGTATTCTAATCCTTTTGTGGTTTACTGTACATAAATACCTCCATCATTTTAAAAAAGGCAGAAAATTAAGGCTCATTTTTCTGGTGAATTCATTATAACATTGTCATTTACCCACAATCCTTGGAATACTAAAAGTACTTTAAAAATGCTGTTCCCAGTTGCAGAAAGTATCCTGCACTTAGATTAAAGTGAACTGTGATCCCAACAACTATCTCAGTCTTGCGAATGTTCAAATGCATTTCAATCTCCTTCTCCAACTCCTCAGCCATTGTGAATCAAGTATACAACTTTCATTTTGAGAAACAAAATCTGAGAATCAGGCAACTGATGTACTTAATATACATTCACTCTCAGAAATAAAGTGTGAAAGAACATGGTATCGTTGGAATTTCAGATCCTGAAAGTTTGAGTTTCTTTAAATTAGTGAACTTATGCCAGCCCACACCTAGGAAGTGTGCATACATTTGGTATGTTTTTTAATATGTAGGTCACATGAAATATTTATTAAATACTTTATCTGGCTTATCTCCTGTTCTAACATGAGCTATCATGTTAAAATGGAATGCAACCAGTGTAAAGGCAGCCTTTGATCAGTGCTCCATTTATGGAACCATACATTTCTTTAAGGAAATTCCACAAGATGTGGCGTTGGCTACCAGCTTGGCTGGCTTCAAAAAAGGGTTGGACCAATTCATGTAAGTAATGGGGATCAATAGTTATTAACCCTGATGTCAGTGTGACTGTCCCTGAAGGCAAACTGCTGGGAGAATAGTGGGCTTCCTTGTGCAGTCGGCTGGCCACTCTGAGAACGGACTGCTGAACTAGATGGGCCAGAGCTCTGATCCAGCAGGGATTGCTTATAATTTCATTTACAAAAGAATTCACTGTTCTAGCCATCATGGATCAAAAATCATATCACATGATTCACAGATGTGGAGAACAGGCAGAAAAAATATGTTCTCCGGCCCCAAGCATCAATTTTCCTTAGTTCTTCTTTGCCATCTTCCATCTTAAGCCTTTCCAAGATGATATTTCTAACAAGAAAAGCGGAAACTACATAATGATGCTCAGGGTTTGAAAGCCAAGTTTTATAAAGAACAGTTGAAAGAGCTGTATCTGAAGAAAAAAAGATTAAACTGTCCTCAAATATCTAAAGAACTATCATTCAGAAAAGGGAGCAGACTTGTTTTCTGTCACTCCAGAGAATAGAAAATGAGCCAATAATCCTTATTTACAAAGAATAAACAATAAAACTCTCATGCAGAATTCCGATCCATCTGGAGGGACAAAATATTTACATTTATTAATTGCCTCCTTCCTTTTATTGTCTGTTAGATTTTATTGGTGTGTCCCTTTGAGAGGAATTCAAGAGAAGAACAAAAAAGAAAGAATAATAACTCA